ACAGGAAGTCTGACAGAAACGTCTGCTACGGGGATAGCAGTAAATCGGAGGGTCAATAAAGTGAATAATGAATTGGAGATTTACTCACTCATGTGAGATTTCTTTCGAATGAAATTGGAATGCTGCAGATCAATGTTGGAGTTGATCGACAGAGATAGAACAAAGATATACGTGATCACTCAACAACAGTTATGTACAGAGATTAATATGAGCTGTTTCCGTATCTTACTCTGAACAAAATCGAACGATGATGATATGGAATGAGGCCTCTAAAAAGGTTTAGGCATGCTTAACACCACGGCTGCAGCCACCTCTTTACGTACTTGAGCTTCACAAGTTATCCCAGCATTGATCACTGCTCATTTTCCGGATAGGAATTAGTGTACTTCAACCCGAATCATATGCTTTTTGTGGTGCTTAAAGTGTTTTACTCAGCACCACAGACAGCTTGTACATGTTACTACCGGTCTCGTGTATGATTGTCAACATTAGATGAACAAAAACGTACTTGATACAGCTTAGACAGTCAACTAGCAACACTTATGAGGTTGTTATTAGCTGTGCGCGAATCCGCTTGTGTTCCGGTTCTTCTTCAACTGACTTGCCACAGTTCAATTCGTTCTGTGCCAGTGCACCACCAGTTGAATCAGTCAATGATTATGTGGAAATCCAAATCAATAAGCTGATAAGATTTAATGCTGGAAATGCACTCCAATGAGAAAACCTCGGAAACTAAGTCGAAGCCTAAAGCTTCCTGTGGATGCAGTTATTCACCAACAGGTATTCACCCCCGGAGTTACAAACCTTGCGGGTGGTGAGTCTGGAATGCGCGGAATCTGAGTGTTTCACTTAACACACCAGGCGAACTGATGAAAAAGGAGACCTCGAAAAACTTTCCATTTCATTTCGAGAAAATACTCTTGGGGACAAATTGACTGGTAAAGAAAAATCAACCGTCGGATGCATTAATTAGGAAATTTCCACTCTCTCACTCTGATTCAGTTCCGATCCCATTTTCACTTTGCCAATCATAAAACGTTGCCTGTGGATGCGATCCATTTTTTGTAAACACATTTCCTCTTCACTTTTGAAGTACAGTAAAACTTAGTTAGTGACTTATCGCATCTTTTTCACTCGAACCACGATAGCTGGTCCAGTGAATGGAGTGATAAGGACGCAAATAACTACGTCTGGCAACCCTCTGACAGAATCCAGTCCTAGATACCTGGATACCGATGAGGCTACATGTCACCTCCATACTGTTAAATTGTGTTTATCGAATGAGTCCAGATTTCGAAATTAATCGAAACCGTTACATTCTGAATATTAACATATTCTCGACGAACACGAAGAATTAGTCGTTTCGCAGAAAATCCGATCAAGTCTCTGTCCAATGGATTCCCCTTACCGAACCCCTTCTATAGCAAGTCATCTGAGGTGGATACTTTCAACGAAAACCGCACATGGTACCAGGAACTATGAAAAATTCATCCGCAACTTCAGTTCGGTGACTTTCTATTCATAAAGTGAATCTGCCTTTATTAAAACATACTTTCGTATACTCAACTATTTTATCGAATTTAGTTAGCAACCAATAAAACGGTGAAATCGATTTTCGCGATGAACGAGTTCACTATTTATTCTCTCTGCAAATCTATGTCAGGATATGTTACTTTAAATAGATCTTTCTTGTTGAATATGCGACATTCCTTTCCCAAAACGTTGCAACGGGACTGTTTTAGCTGAAAACGAAGATCTTGTAGGTGATGATAGATTTGTAAATTTCTTTCGCACACAAAAAACAACCCGAATATAACTCCCATGCGTAAATTCCTCGATTGAACGGGCTCTTCGTACCCCAAAATCTGAGACTCAAATACTGCCAACGCGATCCAACTTCGTTGCTGGTTAGCTCCCGTGATAATCCTTCCTGATCAATACAATATCTGAACTAGTACAGTCTCAAATGTGTTCCATCAGTCTGTACGTTTAAGGTGTAGGTTACTTATTATCTTAAATAAAAGTAATTGATTCGCCAGACAATGTGGTCAGCATTTTCTACCGTTTATTTTTGGTAATGAACTCATTAGACAAAAAACCGTCTATTCTTATGTGAGACAAACTCGTATCAATTTGTGGCATCTCTAATTTTTTATATTTAAAAAGATGCGGAAAATAGAGGAAAATCATGACTGAAGTTTTCATAGGAAAATATGTATACTTGCTTTAGTGTCAAGCAGAAAAGATGGACGATATTTCATGATTTTAGGACACAGGTCGTTAAAAAAATATGCTAAACACGTGGACAATTCAAACGACCATTCAACTGAAAAGCAATACGGCAGCGGAGCGGATATGGATGACACATCAGTCGAAAAGAAATCCATACCTGTATCTCATTGGGTTGAATTCGATTGGTCGGATCCGGCGGATAGACTTGGACAGTCTCAATAAAAAACTCTTTGAAGAATGTCACACCCGCTAGCACATCATCCATAGCTTGTTCTCCGTAACGAAATGTGCAACGAATACGGGCAAACACTTTGCTATCACGAAGCAACTCCCGATCCAGTGTGATCACTCCCTCGACCGGGTCCACAGTTTGCAAGTCATCAAAGATGTCCCGTGCGCACAAGTAGACCGCAAGCTTGTTACTGGAACTGTTCTTTTTGTACACACTGTGTCTTGAAGACATGGATGGGTTCAAAGAGATGGAAACTGGAAATTTGTGTGTGCTACAAAAGATCCCGGTATCAAATCCTCTGCTGCTGGAACTTAATTGCCTGACTGAGCATTAGATGCCTGGAGACGATCAGATAGATGTACCGTGAAACGAAGATGAACTGACCAATGAGATGATTGGTAACCGGACTGGAGACATGGGTTTGTTGTTTTGGTCATACGCGTAGGCTTTCCTCAGGGAGTATTTCTGTGCGTGAGAAACGCCCTTCACCGGTGGGAAGATATGTCTGGTCTCGGTAGAATCGCATCGCCCAAAGCCACTCCAACCCACAAAATATTGGATTACATTTAATCCTTAGCGTGTGTGTGTGTGTGACAGATACTTGACCAGTTCGTTCGGGCTGATCCAGCGTGGTCGGTCCAAAGGCGGATTAGGTTAGAATTGCATTCAGATAGATGAGAAGATAAATCAGTTGAGTAAAATTGTCGCATTGATCCCAAATAATTCATCCAATTCCCTCAACTGAAAGCTGAGTTATAAACCATATTGGCGAATAAAATGCTGTTTGTGAACTACCAAACTTGGTCGGCTTTTGTTCGCGAGCAAACGGGATCACGTGTGATAAAATCGAATGATGTGATATTGCTCGGTGTTGGGCATTCTGTTCTGATCGGGTGACAGGCCTCTCCAACTGACTGCAAGGATGTGTCCCTACCCGAGGTCAAGTTCGCATTGTGATGAATCCGGATCACTTAAGATACTTTTCTCCAAAGGGTTTATTGAACGCGCAAAACAAACGTTTACGTGACTAGGAAGCAGAATCTGTGAAAGACCAAAGGCAATGCCATGTGGTGGTTCATTTATGCAAAATAATTTCAATAACTTTATTCAGTTTCAAAGCGAATTCATCACATGCAAAAGAGCTGGGAAGTCATGAATCGAAAGAGTTGTGTTCTTTTTTTGTCGGGTATTACCAATGTGATCCCATCGACCGAAATGAGATTCGAACCCCGAGCCATGCTAAATGTCACTGACTTTGATTGCCATCAGTGTCTACAAATGCGCATTCCCGATGAGGTTGCTACTACTGATGATGACGATAAGTTAAAAATTCAGAACAAGAAATTCTATTCGATTGTCCGTTTTTCGTTCTATGCTTAACGATCTTCTTTCAGCTTGATGACAAAACAAGTTATGATAATGTTTATTCTCCCACTGGGTGAATTTTTAGCAGATCATGAAATGTACAGCGGACAGAACAGTAGCATAACATTTTTCACAAGCGAAGGCCGTTTTATGACAAAATGAGGAGCCAATAAGTCTGAAACGCAAGTTCATCTTTAAGATTGGCAATAGCCGGTGTGCGGTTAACTTATGAGCAAGTTAAGAAAACGATACCGCTCCGGTTCAGAAGGAGTACAAATAGTGGAAAGTCCCTAATTGGATTTCGTGCGATTACTGGACAAATATTTTACACGTCTACAGAAATGATATTCATCTACAACGTGGAACAACTCTCGTGTACTTTGGTTGAATGTAAACTCTGTTTTCTCAATAAATATCGTTCCATCCTAGCATCAGACATTTATATCTTCCTCTCCAGCATAACTGTTACTGTACAGAATTTTCGTGATTTATTTATTTCTGCACCTTCTAACTACACTAAACCCTCCATTTTCATCGATAGGGGTTATTTCGATCATGAAATAATCATTTCTTCATTTGTCTCTCTCTTCACAACCTCGTAAACCTCCCCACAAAAGCGAATAGACAGTTTGACATTCTATTTTCGAATGATCCTGGCCTGTTTGCTGTTCAAAGAGGAGGTCATATGGCGAACTCCGACTGTTGTATCGAAATCTCTTGCATCAAAAATCTACTTAAAGAAACATTAGGGTACACTGAAAGGAAAATCTAAATATCTCGGGTGAGTGTGAACAGCTAACTGGCTATTGGAACTTCGGTTCTGCCCTTTGATACCCCATGACCCCTTTGTACATCAGCCACGCAAGGTTTTATTCTCTCACTTTAAAGACCCTCGGTAGAACTAACCAACAACACATAAAAATTGTGAACGATCTGTGGTAAAACATAACAGGTGCTGATCAAAACTGAGATCCAAAATCTTGACAGATTGTACACTGAAACCCTACTTGGTGATCAGAATTGAAAGCAAATCATGAGTGTTATGAAAAAGTCACCGCTGACTGCTGAAAACCTGTGCGTATCACACCGGTCCCCCCACCCAAATAAACCGGGGATTTCAACTCTTTGGCCCGGACCTTTTCTTATTCCTAAAAAGTCTGTTTGCATCACTCGAAGCAATGGTATTCAGATCACGAACAGTTATCTCATCGCAAACAACGTTCCACCTCAGATGCCCTAGCAAACTTAGTAACTTCATACAGTCAAAGAATAACATCTTGATTGCATTTCCTCGACTACAGCAAAGTCTTTAATTATGTTGGCAGGGACTGACTAATGACTCTACTCCATGATACTGGACTTTCCTTTATTACTCTTTTTTTACCCCAAGATTATTTATTGTACACACTTGATGAAGTTTCTTGGAAACGCTTCTTACTCTCAACCGGTCAATTTAGGGGTACTCTAGGGAGCGCTGTCGTCTCTTATCCTTTTCTCTTTCTACATTCCGGATCTATCCATTGACCCAGATGATCATCTTATTAAGCATGCTGATGCTGTCATAATGGGTTCCGAATACTAAGACGATTTCCGTCTTCATTGTATTGTATTGTATTTGTTATGTCTTGCCAAGACGTACGCCCCTTGACTAGCCTCAACAATTGGAGAGAAAACTACAGTCAGAGTTTATTATTGATCATGAAGCAATACGCAAATATAGGTGGTAAATTAGGCGAACGAGAATCGACGAAATGACACACCAGTCAGGAAGCGGCCCTGATACTCCGATTGGTTGACCGGACGACAGCTCTCTGACTCGCCTTAGTCATCCAATCCCCGAATGGATTCGGCCTGGGCATCACGAACGCACTTGTGGTAGACCACGGGTCGATGCGCAGCAGGAGGGATTCTGCGCGCTTCGTCCTAACAGTAGTGTTGTATTGTATTGTATTGTCACTCATCTTCTTTACTGCTCCCCAATTTTATTAGCCGTTCTTAGAGATAAAGACTACGCTATTCTACGCCAGTATATTAAAATCATTTTACGCACAACCAGTAATCCCTATCTATACGTATTCAACTTAATCGACAACAAACATTTTACCTTTCGCGAAAACTCATGCAAACATATTCTATTATACATCACTCCCCCACTGCACACAAACCTTGAACCACGTGTATCCATTTCCTTAACCAGGTGTCATTATAAACTTGTGCATACTCGTAACACGACCACCTATTTTACCGCTATCTCATATTTATCCGCTTTAAAAGAATTAAAGGACAAGTTCGATTTGGTCATTTTAAACCCTGATAAAGGTTCTGGGGCTGTCCTGATGGACCGTGCAGATTACCGACGAAAGATGGGATGTATCCTCAATGACCCCAGCAAGTTCTTACGAGAAAAAGCATGTGACAACCCCAAAGAGCTGGAACGGAAAATTGCCTCTGAAGTTCAGTTTCTATTAGAAGGACATTTCAT